CGTACGCAAGACTCTCGACAAGCTCAAGTTGCATGCTATTGGCCCGGGATGGGCACCGATCTCCTCAATCACGAGAAGACATGCCCTAGATGTACTCAGGTCAAGGCAACGGTACCTCGAGCCCCTTAGGAGTTATGCCTATCGGCAAACCCTGGGACTTAATTGCTATCGACCACTTGAAGGTGCCCCCCAATGACGATAATATTCGTTCACTATTGGTTGTCCAAGATTATTTCACACGGTGGGCTACGGCCATACCGGTGAAGTCCGAGGATACCACAGAAGTGGTTAAAGCCCTGTTAGGTCTTTTTAGCATCTTCGGGCCCCCTGGTCGTGTGCATAGTGACCAAGGCCCTGCGTTTGAGTCGAATGCCCTTAGGATTGTCCTTGAGCGTTTAGGAGTTGAGAAAAGCCATACCACACCGTATCACCCCTCGGGTGACGGCTTGGTTGAGCGCTTTAACCGATCACTGATTGGCCTCCTCCGTACTCATGTGACCGACTCTCACCAATGGCCTATGTATCTTCCTTCTTTATTGTGGCACTACAACAGTTCTGTCCACTCAGCGACTAGGTTCGCCCCGTTCACATTAATGTTCGGTCGTGAACCAAAGTCTGTCTTTTTGCCATCGTTGCAGGCCCTTGATCAGCTCTCATTCGACCCATTCGGGTATAACGAGTACGTCAAGGCCCTCTCGATCCACCTTGAGGATCTTGTTGACCTCGCCCACGCCTCCGCCTCTGCTGCAGCCCAAGCTTACTACGACAAGAAGGCCACTGCTCGTCAATTCTATGTTGGACAACGTGTACTAGTACGACGTCTTGGCCCTCAAACCGGAAATAAGCTTGAACCTAAGTGGAGCCCTGGTTGGTTTGTGGTTGGTCAGATGCCTGGCCAAGAGAATAAGGTTCTCAAGCTCAAGCACCAAGAGACGCTTCAAGTTCGTGTTCTGTCAGCTGATTATGTCGCTATCGACCCCCTTCAGCCCGACGCCGTTCCTGACGCCCTTGGTATTATGCGA